TTTAAAATATAATATAGTGTTTTTTTATTGGTATTTTAGCTCATTATCTTGACAAATAGTATGGTTTGTTTGCTGAACTTTATTTCAGATTACTAGTATGTGAATGTGCTATGACACATGATATAAGAATGCAGTTTCTTGCCACTTTTGCTGCCTTGCATTGACAAGAAGGAAGAGGATTTTTAACAAGACCTAAGTTAGTTGTTACCAGATTGTAGTGTTTTTTTGTGGTTTTGTGTGTATTACCCAGTCCACACCCTTTTAACTCACACTCACTGCAAACCATGCTTGACGAGGTCTTTTTTATCTAGAAAAGATGGCAATCATAAGTGGACATTATGAATGACCCCATAATGCTCATGCGCACAAGCATGTTTCCTTAGAATTTCATGCTTCATGCATAGGCACAGATAGAATGCAAAAAGGAGACAGCATATTACTACATTCTATCAGCTGTAGCATGTGAGCAAAATGTATTTGTGAACGAACACTGGCCTTCAGTAACCTCTCAGAAAATATCTGCGCAAAGCCAGGCCAGGATTCCCAGGAGGAGTCTTAACACCCTTTGTAAATAATAGCATCACATCTAATTTCCGCTTATTTTAAGGCACTAGCACAAAAGGAAACTGAGGCATATGAATAAAATTAGTGGACTAATATTTCCTTAGTTATATTAAAGAGACAATAACACTGCTTTTTAAATGAACACCTGTTTAGCTCAATATCAGGTAAGCTGAAGTACTACTGACTGATATTAGAAGGTGGTTAGATCCACATTGAGCAGGCATGTCCAATTGCAGCCAACAGTATGTGAAAAAATCTCTAGGTACCCATACATATATGGTTGTTTCCGAATCTGACTGTAATCAGCTTAATAAAAAGTAAAAAAAAATAGGAAAGGTTTCTAGTGCGTTTACAAACATACTAAAATAGGTGGAGTATGTGATTTCTTTCTCCAGTCAGGCCTAAAAAAGTATCATGTAATACATCAGAAACTAACTGAAAGTCATGCTCACAGTGATGGTAGCTATATTAGCACCCATGTAACAACACAGTTGGACACTGTCCATGATACTTTTTGCAGGAACAGTCATTTTTTATGACAAGCTTTTCCTAAACATAAACCTAGGACCTGAATCTAGAAAAAGGGGGTATACCTCTGAAAACTTGCCCAGAAAAATAAACTTTTGTTGTAACTTTAAAGAGTACATAAACCCAACATTTCATATTCATGATATGTGCCTGCTGTACCATATACTTGTATGAAAACATATCCTCTTCTCTTTGTATTGCTTCCTTCATGTAAAATCCCTGGTGTTCTTGCCAGTCCCTCTGCTTTTCTAAAAACTGATCACATTAGGCATAAGAGCAAAGCTGTTCTAACTTTTTTGGGAATTGTGTGCTCTCCTCCAATGATCAGACTTCTGCTCACATGCCCCACTGCGCAACCATTTACTGGGAAGATTATTGATCTGTTCTTTCTCCTCTCCCAGCTCTCTATGCAGCTGAGGACATGAGGGTATGTGATCACCTATAAAACAGGGGGTAAAAAGGTACTTCTAATGTTTATATATATATATATATATATATATATATATATATATATTTACACACATACACAAATGTTTTGCCTTTCATTTATATTTTAAACTGAATGAGTTGTTTTACAAGGTGAGGGTTTACAAATACTTTAATTCACCAAACTAGCATGCAAGTAATATTTTCCATAATGTAGCAGAAGTGTCCATGTGCCGCATGTCTTAACAAACCCGTGGTTAACAGAGTGAATGGTAGCCTCGGTCTGGGCTTCTACCAGGCCAAGTCCAACGTGTTTCGCTCCACCCCTTGGAGCTTAATCATGGGCTACATCCCCATGATTAGGCTCTGAGGGGCGGAGCGAAACGTATTGGAGGCATGGCCTGGTCAGAGCCCAGGCTGAGGCTGCCATTCACTCTCCTAAAATGGGTTGTATATATTTATTTTATATGTCCCAGTCTTATGGGAGGAAGTAGAAGTTTACTACTTAAAGCCTAAGTTTACCTAGAACCTGTCCAATCAATTTTTCACTCCAAGATAGCTTTGCAACCAGAGCTCAGTCAAACTGTCGTCCAGCCCAGACATTTTCTCTTGTTTGTGCATAGCTTTTAAGAGTGAAAATTGTTGACTGAGAGCTGCTTAGTGCAGTAATTAAACAGTAAAATCTGACAGTAAACATGCTACTGCCTAATGACACTGCTACAACAATTCTTCTCAACACTTTCCTCAGTTTCAGGAAAGGGTGGGTCACCTTTAGGGGTTTCCTGAACTTTTTTATAGCGTGATCTGTAACGCAGACACACTTTCGGCAAGACCCCAGAGAATCTTGTTTTGAAACACAGCAACTCCCACGCAACTCTCTGTTATGCAAGGATACCTATTTTCATATGTTTGTACATTTCTGTTTCACTTTTGTGTCGCAATACCTGTTTTCAGAGGATCTGTCACGCTTGAATAGCAATTTTAAAAATAGTGCTATAATTAAATTTAGGACTGCTTTAAAGGTAGAGCTTTGTAGTTTTAACCATGCCTGGACAAGGTTCATCTCTTTGCCCAGGAACAGTTCAGTGTACTGTGCTTGGTGGTCCCTGGCATGGTTCCTTGGTGGTCCAGAAGGGTTTGCTTTAGTGTAAGCTCAATCCATGCCTGAGCACTGAACTCTCCAAAGGTCACTGAGCATAGAAGCAGGGATCACTTTGATCTGGATGTCACAAGTGTGCCTAGGAATATTTATTTTAGCAGGGGGCGTGGGGAGGGGGGACAATGGAACTCAAATGGTTCAGTTCAGCCATGTCCAGTGTGAGAGACTCCCCCACAAACCTCTTCTATTCATCCATCATGAGAGTGTAAGGTGAAGAGTCAGCAACTCGTTCTCCCGATAAAATTACTTTATTAATAAAGGGTACAGTGTGCAAGTTACAGCCACTTACGGTTTCGGTAAAAAAAAAAAAAACTTTTCACGGCTATGAATAAGGGTTTTTTTTTTTTACTGAAACACGTAAGCTGCTCTAACTTGCACACTGTACCCTTTATTAATAAAGTACTTTTATCTGGAGAACGAGTTGCCTGCTCTTCACCTTACACTCTCATGCTGTTTAAAGTGCCAAGAAGATACTGTGAGCTTTGGAACACCATTGGTCTACCTCAAGGGGAAGTCAACCTAGGCATACATTTTCATTTGTGTATTCATCCCTCACCCCATACCCACAGACACAAGTTAATTGTCTCTGAATTCTTGAACTGTTTTCCTGTCCAAAGGCTGAAGTTTTCCCCAAAGATACGTCGGCACCTGAAATTTGTAAGACATGTCTTTTAGCTGATCTTATCTGCACATCCAAAGCTCATATAATTTAAAGAACAAATGCAACATTCTATACAGAATAGATATGTTACAGTGAATGATGTATATCCAGTTTTCACTTGCAGAACGTTCTGTGGGTAAAATGTGAACTCATGGTTCCTGGAAAGTAAAGGAGATGTGGGAGAAGTACCCCTACACATTGCTGTGCTAAGGCAGTAACATTTTCTAAAAGTGGCCCAAAAAAATCAGACATGGCTTCTTGTAGGGGGGTTAGCCTGTATAATGTTAATGTAAAAAAACTCCCACAGAAATGGCATTGCCCATTCATGTGTTTGGCTCACTGCTATCCACAGCAGTTCTCTTATTACCCTGAAATACTGTAGATCAGAGTGGCAATAGATAGAATAAAAGAAAAAGAAAAAAAAGAAAATAGATGCATGGGTTATAATCAGCCCCTAATCCATCCAATTTAGTGTGAATTCAAGTCAGAGAATTGGGATCCTTGAAAGGCTGGTATGGCAAACAATGTTTGGCTGTTTATGAAGCCTGGTAATTAATTGTCAAATCTGAGTTTTTAAGGGCACCCCAAACGGAATTCTTATGCAGTTCTTATGACATTATGACATGATGCATGTTATGTCTCCAACAGTAGAGCAATTAGGGACATCCTCAAAATGTAGGTAAGCTTGGGTAACATAATGCTATAAGGTTACCTAAACACATAATCTTGCATGAGAACTGGGTATCCATAAACTTGCATATTTTAGTGAAAACATTCAATAAAGTCTCAATCTGCTGAAGCAAAAAACATTGAGACTCCATGCACGCTGGTTTATAAAAATAATTCCAGTGCTCTTGGCAGAAAAAAACTTTGAATGTTTTTTGTACTAGCGTTTGGGAGCAGAGCTCAATCTCAGTCCTGTGAAGACTGAGATTGAGCTCTGCAGCCACTTTTGTAGCAGTTGTTTTCTTATTCCAGGTCACAATCCTGCGCAATGTCCTTTTGTCTCTTTCGGTCAGTTGACATGTCTACCGTGCTTATGCTTATCAGACAATGTTTTCCCGGAAACTGTATATGCCGTTATAACCTTTGATAATATACCTTGCAACCTGGCAAATAAATTGGCAACTTTAGTCACAGATGCACCAGCTATGTGGGCACCACAAATTTGCCCTTTGAAGCTCAGTAAGCTCTGATATGACTCCGTATTACTAGCAGTGCATGCAGTGAATGACAAAAGTGAGGCTTCCCTATTTGCTAGGTGTCTCATCACACAGCAGCAGCAAATGAATGTTACAACACTTCCACTTTCAATGACAAACGTCGTCACTTTCGCACCTGCAAATCATGCAGTCTTTCCATTTTTCCAACCCCTGTATATACCGTATTTTCCGGCGTATAAGGTGACTGGGTGTATAAGACGACCCCCTAATTTTCCAGTTAAAACATAGGTTTTGGGCTATACTCGTCATATAAGACTACCCCCCTTCCGAGGCAACACCATTTAACCCCTAGCCTACAGTGCACTTATACCCACTTGCCCCCCAGGCCAATTTTCAGCTTTCAGCGCTGTCACACTTTGAATGACAATTGCGCGGTCATGCAACACTGTACCCATATGAAATAGGTTGCACTGATGGGCACTGATGAGGAGGCACTGGTAGGTGGCACTGATGGGCATTGACAGGCATTACTAATGGGCACTGAAAGGCAGCACTGATACATGGCACTGATACATGGCACGGATAGGCGGAACTGACTGGCACTGTTAGGTGGCACTGACAGGCGGCACTGATTCGCACTGATAGGTGGCACTGACTGGCACTGATAGGTGGCATTGATGGGCATTGACAGGCATCACTGATGGGCACTGAAAGGCAGCTCTGATAGATGGCACTGATAGGCGGCACTGACTGGCACTAATAGGTGGCACAGCGTGACAGCTCGAGAGGAGAGAAATGCCGATAACAGGCATTTCCCTGTTTACATGTGATCAGCTGTGATTAGACACAGCTGATCACATGACCGATCCGACATCTTTAGGTCTTTCCGTGATCGGTGATAGCTGTGTCCGAGGGACACAGCGCATCGCCGCGCATACGCGGAGAATGGGAGGACGTCATATGAGCCAATCACGACAAGTGATGTATTCTATTAATGAATACAGAGCCTGCTCGGATTGGCTGTGTCAGAGAGGCGGGCTGATGATTGGCTGAAGTTGTGACATCATCAGCCCGCCTCTCTGACACAGCCAATCCGAGCAGGCTCTGTATTCATTATAGAATACATCGCTCGCCGTGATTGGCTCAGCGCGGTACACTGTATGTAGCTGAAGCTACCATACAGTATTACCGCACATCCAGCGTTCTATACCCGGCATATAAGACGACCCCCAATTGTTGGGGTATGTTTTTAAGTAAAAAAAAGTCGTCTTATACGCCGGAAAATACGGTAACTACTGTTAAGTGTTCTTGCATGGCAAGACCACTTACTGTTATCTCACATATATATTATTATTATTATAGCCAAATATACCACCCTAACTCCTCCCACAGTTTTTACACTACATAGACAGTAAAATACCGAAACGTGCGGATTGATCCCAATTGGTGTGCTATTACTTTGTGGAATGTTTCGCTGAATGGTTCACAAAATATCGGCGTTTTTGTGGTGAAATTGGTCCCATAGGAATGAATGGCGGAATGTTCAAAACTAGAGTGGGAGCTGACAAAAGCTAGAGTGGGAGCTGAAAAATCAGGACATGATTTCTAAACTGCCATCACTCCCTCATTTTCAAGCCCACCTACACAAATTGTATATCAAAACATTCAGCTAACCCTGCTGCCACTAAAAATGTCCACAGCTAAGCCATAGTCCTGATAGTTTTCACAATATGAGCATTTGTTTGCAACTCACGCCGCCCATTGACATTCATTGAATCTGCACTCTAGCCACCTCAAATTTGAAGGGCAATTTCTAAACTGGACCAAACTTTTGATATGTTTCCCACAGCTAGATAATTGTGTGATACGGTGCGAGACCACCTTTCAAATATTAGAATGAACAAAGACAAAGTTGCAAACCATTTTGTTGAATCACATCCCATTATTGAAAAGCTCAAAGTACAGATTGCATAAAAAGATCTTCCTGTAAAACTTGGTATTTTAAGGTTTTTCACAAAAATCATTGAACACAATCAACACTGCAAGAAATATATCTTTTTTTCTACTATTTTTGATTATCGAGACACTGGACTTTTATGATTTGTTTCTGATTACTGAGACACTGGACTTTATGAGTTTGTGTTAGTTCACGTATATAATTATATGGGGAAAGTCTTGTTGTTTTATATATAGGTAGATTATTTGTTATAAGAGGGAAGATTTTCTTTTGGACTAATTTATTTAATTTCTAAACTGCGACCACTCCAGTTGTAGACTACTGGTGGAGGCAAGAACACTTCACACAATTTCCCCAGAAATTGTAGCTTTTCTAGTTTGTATTGCTATTACCATGTTGATGTTTTAAAATGAAAGTGTATGCTGTGAGTTTTCTTTTAAATAAACTTCTAGATAAATACCACTGTTCTTTTTTTGGTGCCAGTTGTGGAGTTGTCTGCACATCCACTCTGTGTACCATGCTTTCTTACTATGGATAAACAGTAGACCATGGATATCTGTAACAGCAACTACTGTATCTTGAGAGTATAAAAGTCATACATAGAAAAGACAAGGCTTCCCTCTACTGGGGAAATATAAGGTCAGTTATCTAAGGAGTCACTGCCACTGTCTGCAATGGCAGACGTAAAGATATACAGATAACTAAAAGTATGCAGTCAATTTGACTGGTAAACCATTATAATATTAAAAATAATAAGTAATAAACAGCTGCAATTTTATAGTGTCATAAAAGAACCCAGACCACTGTCTTGTGAGATGCAAATAAAATACATATTTATTAAACGTATCTATGTGGTAGCAAAAGAAAAGTGTTATATTGATAATATCTCAAGGCCTTAGTTATACCATTTTGACCATTTATGCACTGAAGCTGATTAAGGCTCGACATACCCTTCATTAACACTAGCCAAACCCCTTATGTAACCCCCTAGACTTCTCTCAGAGTCTCTCTTGCTTGTTCCAAATGACAAATTATACCTATTACATATCCATACATTTTTATTTATCACTCTCAACTAGGTAACTCAAAAAAATAGGTGTGGGGGGGTAGTTCCAGGGGGAAAAGACCATAACCATTAGGCCTGCAGCCTGACAGGGGCCAGCCAAGTTCAAAATCCATCAACATTCATCTGGTTGTTATTAACAGCCAATCATATACTTTTCATACCAATGACACTTTTATAGGATATTTAGATACTGATTTGGCAGATGTACATTTGTTTTAGCAACACCAGCCGAAGAAATGGAAAAATGATTATTAAAGTGGTTGTAAAGGCTCAAAGTTTTTTTACCTTCAAGCATTCTATGCATGAAGGTAAGAAACATTTTCTGTACAGCATCCCCCCCCCCCCACCCCCCCTAATACTCACCTAAGCCCTCTTTCGATCCAGCAATGTGCATTGGAGTATCGGCTATCCCAGGACTCCCTCTCCTCATTGGCCGAGACAATCAATCACAGCCAGTGAGCCAATGAGAAGAGAGAGGGGGTGGGGCCGAGCCGTGGCTTTGTGTGTGAATTGATACACAGAGCAGCAGCTTTTGTACACGCCTACTTGGGTGCCCCCATAGCAAGCTGCATGCTGTGGGGGCACCCAACAGGACGGGGGGCCAGTAGCGCCAATGGTGGACCTGAGAAGAGGAGGATCTGTGCAAAACCACTGTACAGAGCAGGTAAGTATGACATGTTTGGTTTTTTTTTTTCCTAAATTAAGAATTTAGTATCACTTTAAAACTGTAATAGCCAATATTGGTTTAAAAATTTAGCTCAATATATTACTGAAGTTCTATTTAAAGTGGACAACCAGGCTCTAACTAACTAAGCTTAAAACAGCTCTCACCCCTTTCTAACTCCTATTTTAATTACCCTGTAGAAGAAAGATGCTTATACTTATCTACTGTATTCTCAGCACTCTTTGGTCCAGTCACCAGATCAACGGCTTCAAGGGAGAGGAGGGACAGCCAACAACTGATGCCCCACATTATGCCAATGGGTGACATCACCGCTCAGGCATTCCATACATTATTGGCACTCTCTCCTCTTCCTGAAGTCCACCGCTGGGGAGATTAAGTGACCGGACCGGAGTGCCCTGAGAATAGGTAAGCATATGCATCTTCCTTTTACAGGGTAGTTAGAATAAGAGGTATAAGTGGGGTGGGACCCATTTCAGGCTGGAGCCTGGAATTCCACTTTAACCGCCTCCCACCATATAGAAACATAGAAAAGTTACGGCAGAAAAAGACCGTGTGGTCTTGCCTGTTTTTTGTTTTTGGGAAGGGGGGGTTTTTTTTTTTTTGGGGAAGGGGGTTGGTTTTTGGTTTTCTTTGCTAACTTTTTTGTCTGATTATAGATCTATGCTGGAAGTCTATTCCTAGCATCAATTACTCTTTCAATAAAAGAGTACTTTCTGAGATTAGTTTTGAACTTTCCTCCAGTTAGTTTCAGGTCATGTCCCTGTGTTCTTGATTTTGATTACATGTTGAAAATACTGCTCTCCTGAACCTTATTCACCCCCTTGATGTATTTAAAGGTTTCAGTCATGTCTCCCATTTCCCTTCTTTCCTCCAGACTGTACATGTTATGTTCCTGAATTCGCTCTTGATATGTTTTATTCCCGGACCTTTCATAATTTTTGTTACCCGTCTCTGGACTTGTTCTATCTTAGTATCTTTTTGTGAGGTCTCCAGAACTGGACACAGTATTCTAAATGAGGTCTAACTAAACATCTATATAGGGGGTCAGGACCTCCTTCCTCCTGCTGGTGACCCCTCTAGTGATGCATCTTAGAATTATATTTGCTTTCCCCACTGCCTGGCCACACTGTTTGCTCATTTTGCAATCATATGACATAAGTATCCCCAAGTCCTTTTCCTCTGAAGTGCTGGTCAACACTGTACCCCCAATGCTGTACTCTCTCAAGGAATTATTTTTCCCTAGGTGCATTATTTTACATTTAGAAACACTGAACGGCAATTTCCACTTTTTTGACCAATCTTCTAGCAATGCCAAATCATGTTCCATGTTACAAACACCTCCAGGGATAGCAACCCTATTACACACTTTTGTGTCATCAGCAAAAAAAATACCTTACCCAACAAACCTTTAGTTATATCACTTACATATAGAATAAATAGAACAGGACCTAGTATAGAGCCTTGTAGTACACCACTAGTGACTGGTCTCTGGTCCGAGTGAACCCTATTTACAACCACACTCTGGCATCCATCCAGCTGCATATCCACCGAACCACCCAGGGGCTAAGTCCTAGCTTGTACAACATTTGTATTAAATCATTATGTGGAACTGTATCAAATGCCTTCCTGAAATCAAGATATGCTATGCACCACCCTGGTCCAAAACATTGGTAATATAGTCAAAAACTCCAATCAGATTAGTCTGACATGATCTGCCCTCAGTAAAGCCATGCTGCTTTAGATCCAGCATGTTGTGTGTTTTTTAAATGATCAATGATCCTACTTTTCAATAGTGATTCCATTAACTTGATGACTACTGATGGTAAACTCACTGGCCTGTAATTGCCAGCTTCTACCTTGCTACCCTGATTGTGGATAGGTACAATATTAGCTGTCCACCAGTCATGGGGAACTTCTTCTGTGAAGAAGAGATTGATTAAAAATATCAGTCAATGGTCCAAAAACTATACCTTGACGTTCTCTTAGAACTCTTGGATGAATACCATCAGGGCCCACTGCTGTATCAATCTTTAACCAAGCCAGCAAATTGCTACCTCTGTCTCCAGAAATCCTAAAAATGAACCATCATTACTAGAACGAATATGATTTCCCAACCTATTATTGTTAGTATAATTTATTTCTGAGAAGACTGAACAAAAGTAATTTTTTAATGGTTTGCTACATGCAGGTCTCCCTTAACATAAGTGTTGTGCCCAGATCCGAAAGAATTTTTGCTTTCTATCACTAATGTACCTTAAAAAAGGTTTTTATCTCCTTTC